TTAGTTTCTTTAGGAGATGCAATATTCATCAGTTACAAACTTGGGAATGTCATATTGTAAAAAGCCACATGACAAAAGATGCTGTGTGGTGTTACAGCTGATTCCGTTTGCCATATGGCACGCTATTATTTTGTATTACCTCGGGGAGTGTGCTAAAAGTGAAAAAGAACAGAACACACTCAAGGTATATAGACTAATAAGCAGAAATTGTATAGTTCTTGATTATAGCAATAAGGTCTGTAACCAAAATGGAAATGGAACTAAATATGAGAGCTGAATGTGTGCTATAATGTTCTCCAGCTACTGAACAGTAGTATACTCCTATCAGGAATATTTAAACAGGAAGAAATTGCCAGCTGCCATATGCAAAAGCTTGCAGACCACCTCAAAGAAGATTGACTCAAAAGTCAGCCAACGCTATGTGCATTGCTATACACGATACCATGATACTGGAGGAAACATTAAACCACTGATCTCCAAAAGGAGAATTCAGATGCACAGCTATAATAAAATCATCAAATGAATGATTAGAACAATGACTGGGGAAAAATTACTTGCTGAAAACAGTTACAGTAAAAAAATCCTAAATTAATCGTGGCAGTTATAAATCAAAACAAGTGAGCTTTTTCAAAGGGCTTAAAAACTCCCAAAACAAACCAGATCTCCAGACCTCAATTTCAGAACCACCTTCCTTCTATAATATATCAGAACTCACAAGCAAATTATTACTAATGTATCCGAAATTCATGCAAGACTTCATTGCAGTGACTTTCCTGAAAACGCGTTGTATTGCATCTGGCATTCTCTGCCTGCAACGCCAGTAAACTCACCGTCACCCCTCCCACCCTCCAGTGCCACCTTTGCAGCTGTACGCAGACTCTGAAGCAAGCTCCAGCCAAGGTCATAGCGCTCCCTGAGAGCTACTACTAAGTCATGACTTAAAATTTAAGTGACAGGTTTTGGGATACCAAATATCAGAAATTTACAGGTTTGCTGTTTTTTGGAATAGTTTGGCTCTAAACACTGTAGTCCATTAGATGAGGCACTGCAAGCTCTCTTACAGGAGCAGGATATTATAAAATTATCTGTGCTAATTGTGGAATACTTCAGATGACATCTTTAAAGATATGACCTATTCAAGTGTTCAGTTTGAGCAGCCAGAAAAGGGGAAGATGGTTCCTTTTAGCCAGACATTTAGCAGGAATAAATCAGAGAATCTCTAGTAATGTTCAATATTTCCTATTATGTATTCTGAATTTCTACTTTCTGTTAGCTTTTACCAGCTATTAGGAAGATACATATTTTTTTTTTTTTTTAGAAAGTCATCTAAGAGACTCAATGTCACTTAAAGATAAGCAAGCCTCCCAGGTAGATGAATAGCTGGTCATGGCTGCGTGGCCCTCGGAAGCCTTGCTGTCCTTACACTGACTTCCAAACGCCCCTGGGCACCGTCTGCCAGCCTCAGGGCGTTCCACTGCTCGGAGGGACGGGAGTGGGGATCCCAGCCGAGTGCTGGCAGGAGGGGCTGAACTCCATTGCCGTGCAAATGAAGTTTATGCATTTCCATATCTCAGCTAACGTTAACACCAACTCATGACACGTTCTGCACTGTATTAACAGCAGCTAAGAAACTTTCACACTTATCAGTCCTAACGTCACTCTTGCTTAGTCCACACAAGATCCTCTGTTCCAGCTATCAAAACAGGTTGCTGTAAAAAAGACTAGTGTCAGTAACTGAGGGTTATTTTTTAGTGAGAGATTAAAAAAAAAACAAGTGTGTTGATGGATGGAAGGAAGGAAGGAAGGAAGGGAGGGAGGAAGGAGAAAAGCTTGTTCACACTGTCACACTCGAGGAAGTTCTCCCCCTTGAAGTTAGCAGGAATCTTGAATGTGCGTTACCTGACCATTCAAGTTGAAAGAATGTAGCTTGTTAGCACACGTGCTGTCTTAGCAACCACTTGTCTATTACCCTTTTCATTAAGGGAAAGCTACATAATACTACAGCAGGAGAGTAATATTTGTAAAGATTCTAGATTTGTTTCCCTAGAAAAATGTATTCAATTCCAGACTAACGTAACTGTGTTTGACAGAACGAGTATTTATTGTACCCTAATAAACTGTGAATTTGCATCTACATTTTAAATATTTTATGATTGCTGTTGTTCTGATAAACACCGTTACCTTGACAACAAGCATAAATGAATGTTTTATTGCATAAAGAATTTTCTTTGTAGTAATGAAAAAATAACTTGTTTGAAATATTTAATATTTTCTTCTGAAAAGACAAAAAATGTTTAAATATGTATCAGAAATTGAGTGTAAATATGAATTCTTATTTAGGTAATATGTCAATCTAAAAATCTCATCATAACATAGTAATTACTATTACTATTATTTTTAATAAGTTAACTCACTGTTAAGTTTCACATTGAACAACCCAGCAAAACAAAAAAAAATAAGAAATGGAAGAGGTTTTGAGTTTAGGTCAAGGCAAGAAGCATTCTCCAATGAAGTTTTCTCATGACATTTGAAGCTTACCTGCTGCTCATTTAACTAGTTAATTTTTTATTAATTGATCATGACAGTTTTATAGCAATTACTGATCATATGAGATGTGTATGCTTTCAAAGTCTTCAGTTAGTTCAAGATAATGCAGAGGGGCCAAAAGCTTGCTATGCTTCACAGTAAAAACGTACACTTACGTTAGTAAGAAAAACACAAGTGAAGTATTTTTTATCTGACCACAGTTTTTAAATAGTCAAGGAATGGATGGGGACAATGTCTTAAGAGAGTTTCAGAGAGGACAGAATCTTTAAGACATGACTTATTCTAGTAGTACATTATGCATCAGAAAATCATAACTTCAGCTACGAACCCAGGTTTTGGTGAAGAGGCAGTATTTAACAATTTGGAACATTGGTCAGATAAACTGGAATAACAGAAATATTAGTTTGGTCATCTAACTTTTATTTCAAAAGGCACTAATATACTCTATTCTTTAAATACACCTTTAGTGAACTTGAAAAACATCCAGCTGCCATATGTTTTGGAGGTGCCTAAGGCCTAAGGAAATGCAGTTGCTGTGTCTATTTTAGGGTTTCTTGTGACATGTATTCAACTGTCAGTTCTCATATGCTCCTTCAAGAAAGATGCTCTGCTGCATGTTTGCAGTATGTAATGAGCAGATGTTATTACTACTCTGCTGATTCACGTTAGAGGACTCATGCCCTTGACGGAATATGAAAAGTGGATGAAACCATAACTGAACAGCACAGAATTGTAAAAAAATATTTAGAATTTCATTTTTTTGAAATGAGCTAATTCACAGCAGATTATAGATGTGTTTTCACAC